ATATATATACATATATATATATATATACACACATATATATACATATATATACATATATACATATATATATACACACATATATATACATACATATATATACATATATATATATATACATATATATACATATATATATACACACATATATATACATATATATACATATATACATATACACATATACACACATATATATATATACATATATACATATACACATATATACATATATACATATATACATATATACAGATATACATACATATATATATACATATATACATACATATATATATACATATATACATATATATATACATACATATATATACATACATACATACATATATACATATATACATACATATATACATACATACATATACATACATATATACATACATACATATATATACATATATACATACATACATATATATACATATATACATACATATATATACATATATACATACATACATATATATACATATATACATACATACATATATATACATATATACATACATACATATATATACATATATACATATATATACATATATATACATATATACATATATATACATATATACATATATACACATATATACATATATACATATATACATATATATACATATATACATATACATACATAAATATATATATATATATATATATATATATATTTTTATATTTTTTTTTATTTTTTTTTAATCTTTTTGGGTGTAACTGGGACCCTGAGTATATAATATGGTCCCACCTCATGTACGACACGTGATGCGAATTACAATAAAGAACTTTGAACCTTGAAGAATCAAATTCATGACGATAAATAGTGATTTTTATTTTGAAATTACCAACGCAAAAGAAAAGAGCACCTTGTTTCTACAATAGTACTGTTTTTAAATACACATAAATACCTCTGTTTCCCTGGAAAGTTGGAGCAATCATCAACGGCGTGATCAAACTGTGTGCAGAAGTCGTCCAGTTCACCACTGTCACCAAACGCGCCCCACTCAACGTTGACACACATCTGACCCTCGTTTCCCTCCACCATTTCAATGTTGTGCATTTCTTCCATGTAGCAGGCGTTGGTGCCGGTGCCTGAATTAAAAACACGTGTTACATGTACCTGTCGTGAAAATTAAACAACAGATTCATGATGAATCTGTCCAGAAGACCTGACTTAACCTTGTTAGAATATAACCTACAGTTTGCTCATAATACATTTAAATACTTAATTATTTAAGAAAAAATGGACACAGGCAGGAAAGGGTGGATGCAGATAGACGTACCTACAATAAGTCCAACCTCACATTTGGGGTCCTCGTAACCACAAGTCATCATGGTTCCCACTGTGTCATTTACTATTGCCACAAAGTTCAAGTCAAACTCCTAAATACAGAAACAAGAGACCAATTTTACTTGTAATACCGGTAAGTTAAAAGCAAAGATTTTAATATTCACAACCAGAATTGAAAAATAAAGTTGAAGCACTGTGTGAATTTATTAAAAACAGAATGCAATGACTTGCAAATCTCAAACCATCTTTTATTTACAGTGGAATATAGTTAACATATCGAAAGTTTAGGGGGCCATTCAAAATTATCAACATTTTCAGGAGCGTACAGAACATACAGTTTTTGAAGACCCCCTCTGCTCCGCCTCTTTGGTTTTGCTTGACTGGACTGATTTCTGAAAGCTCATCTCAAGGCAGGATGTGGACACTTTATCTGTGATTTATGAATCGTTAGAGGAAGTACTGGTCTGTGCAGCCATTTTGCTGAACTGTCTTTTAAATGAGGCTAACATTTACCATGTGGGAGAATAGCAACATGTCAGAAGTGCATATCAAACATGCTCAACATTTTTTTAAATTTTGAAAAACTACACCAGTCCTTGAACCACCCTCAGAGTATGTATGGTTTGTACACTTGTAAAGAATAAAATAAAATCTTGCCCCTAAACTAAGTGTATCATTTTAGAACAAAAGTAAAAGGTCATTTTGAATTTGATGGAAGCAACACATCTAAAAAAAGTTGGGCCTGAGGCAACATAAGACTGAATAAAAAATGAAAAACAATGAAAAACAGCTGGAGAAGCATTTTGCAATAATTACATGTAGCTTAACTGGCAGGTCAGTAACAGGACTGGATAGAAAAAGCAAAATTTAAAGATGGTGAATCTCTCAAAGTGAAAATGGGCAGGAAAATGAACAGTGAGCAAAGAGGTGTTTAAAAATGGTGGCACAAAATCAGAATATTGTTTTTCAATAGAAATTTGGAGAGATTTTGAATATGCCATGACTTATAGTTAATGATTAAAGATTCATCATCTTTTTTACCGGCTTCTTTCTTTTCAGGTCATGGGGGGGGGGGGGGGGGTCCCTGGTGCCCATATCTAGCCATCACTGTGTGAGTGGCGGGGGACACCTGGATGGGTCACAAGTCCATCACAGGGCCACAAAGACAAACGAGACAAACAACCGTTCACGCTCTCTCTCACACCTAGGGACAATTTAGAGTTACCAATCAGTCTAACATGCATGTTTTTGGTCTGTGGGAGGAAACATGAGTACCTGGAGAAAACCCACGCAGCATGGAGAGAACATGTAAACTGCACCCAGAAAGGCCCCCGGCCAGGATTTGATCTGGCAACCTTTTCGCTGAGAGGCAACAGCTCTACTAAATGAGCCACCGTGCTGCCAAGGCATCAGAACAATCTCTGTGCTCAAATGACAATGCTGAAAAAATCAATAATAGAGTTCTGTGAAATTTGGACCCTACATTAAAAACAGGCCAGAAAAGACCACCTCTCTAATGGTATGGGGGTGCATTAGTGCCTATGGCATGTGCAACTTACACATCTGGACATATGCAGAATCAGTGCAAAAAAAATATATACAGGTTTTAGAGCAACATATGATCTCTACCAGACATGTTTTTCAGGGAAGGCCTTGCATATTTAAGCAAGATCATACTCAACTGATTACTGCATCCATTACAACAGCATGGTTTGTTGGAGTCCAGATGCTGAACTGAAATGTCTGCAGTCCAGAACTTTCAGTAATTGAAAACATTATAGGTATCAGAAACAAAAAACTAATAATCCAGCAAAGAGGATCTACAACTATTGGAACAGCTAGACTCCCACATAAGATAAGATATTCCTCTTCAAAAACTCCATCTGCCAGTCCCTAAAAGAAGAGGAACTGTTTCACAGGAAAAAATGCCCCTGTCTCAACTTTTTTGTGATATTTTGCTTCCACTAAATAAAAATAAAATTTTGTAAAATTGGTACAATTTCTTAGGTTAAACATTTGCTTTGTTTATCTGTATTTAAAACATGGTTTTATGTGATAAACAGTGACGCTTAAAAGTTTGTGAACGTTTTGTAATTTTCTACATTTCTGCATAAATATGACTTAAAACATCATTAGATTTTCACACAAGCCCTAAAAGTTGATAACGGGAACCCAGTTCAACAAAAGACACAAAAATATTATACTTGGTCATTTATTTATTGAGGAAAATGATCCAATATTACATATTTATGAGTGGCAAAAGTATGTGAACCTCTAGGATTAGCAGTTAGTTGTGATGTTCTGGATTTTTTCTCTTAGATTCTGTCTCACAGTTGAAGTGCACCTATTATGAAAATTACAGACCTCTCCATTCTTTGAAGGTGGGAAAACTTGCAAAGTTGGCAGTGTATCACATAATTTTGCCACAGTGAGTGTGTGTATATACAGGTGCTGGTCATAAAATTAGAATATGGTGACAAAGTTGATTTATTTCAGTAATTCCATTCAAAAAGTGAAACTTGTATATTATATTCATTCAGTACACACATACTGATATAGTTCAATTTTTTATTTATATTAATTGATGATTATAACTAACAACTAATGAAAACCCCAAATTCAGTATCAGAAAATTAGAATATTGTGAAAAGGTTCAATATTGAAGAGACCATGTACTACACTCTAATCAGCTAATTAACTCAAAACACCTGCAAAGGCCTTTAAAATTTAACATTTCCATTGGAAATCAAAGTTCCAGAGTCTGGAGGAAGAGAGGAGAGACACATAATCCATGTTGCTTCAGATCCAGTGTCAAGTTTCCACAGTCAGTGATGGTTTGGGGTGCCATGTCCTCTGCTGGTGTTGGTCCACTGTGTTTTCTGAGGTCCAAGGTCAACGCAGCCATCTACCAGGAAGTTTTAGAGCAGTTCATGCTTCCTGCTGCTGAACAACTTTATGGAGATGCAGATGTCATTTTCCAACAGGACTTGGCACCTGCACACAGTGCCAAAGCTACCAGGAACTGGTTTAAGGACCATGGTATCTCTGTTCTTAATTGGCCAGCAAACTCGCCTGACATTAACTCCATAGAAAATCTATTGTGAAGAGGAAGATGTGATACACCAGACCCAACAATTCAGAAGAGCTGAAGGCCACTATCGGAGCAACCTGGACTCTCATAACACCTGAGCAGTGCCACAGACTGATCCATTCCATGCCACGCCACACTGCTGCAGTAATCCAGCCAAAAGGAGCCCCAACTAAGTACTGATGCTGTAGGAATGTGCGATATGGCATAAAATTCACATCACGGTATGTATAGTGAAGGGTGGCGATAACGATATATATCGCAATATGTTTTGGGTATAAAACTTAATAGGAATTTTTTAAAAGCATAGGATGTCCTTTTGCCATCATATATTTTGCATTAAAAAAATTCCACTACTAGGTCCAGAGAGTTTTTTTTAATAATAAACAAAGTATTAGGCTTCTTACTTGTAGTGCAAAACAGTGCAAAAGATATCAAATGTAGTTTTAGTCATATGTTTTAAACAAAAGAATATGTTGTTAACTTAACAGTTTCCAGTCTTCTCACTTAAGAAATGAAGAGCAACAGAGCAGCATTTTACACTGAAAACACTTCACCCTCCAACCTCTAGTGGGCGACTCCTTCTGCTTTAATGGAGCTGACACAAAATGAGTCTGTGGCTTTGACCAGAGGGTCTCGCAGTAAAATCACACAACACAGCGTTCTTTTCACAGATCAGAGAGCAGGTTTCTCTAAAGCTGACTAACGCTTACTTCAACTTTCGATGGAAAAAAAAAAAAAAAGAAATTTCGACGGAACACAGCATTTTGTGCATGCGTCAGAATACGGCAACTCTACGGCAAACCGGCCGTACTTAGCTTGTAGCTTCACTACTTAGCCCTCGAAGAAAATACTTTAACGGCACTTGCACACAGTTTTCAACCAAAAAAAGGTAACGATTAAATCTGACTGCTCTGATTTTACACTTGAACACCACTTATGCACAGTTTTCAACAAAAAAAAAGTAATTTTTAACTGACAACTCTGATTTTACATCAGATACAGCATTACCGTGGTTAGCCGGTAGAAGACAGATCTCTATCATAGGCTAAATTTCTATCGTTTCTACCGTATATATCGCACATTCCTATGCTGTACATGCTCATACTTTCATGTTCATACTTTTCAGTTGGCCAACATTTCTAAAAGTCCTTTTCTTTTATTGGTGTTAAGTAATATTCTAATTTTCTGAGATACTGAATTTGGGGTTTTCATTAGATGTCAGTTATAATCATCAACATTAAAAGAAAAACATTTGAAATATATCAGTCTGTGTGTAATGAATGAATATAATATACAAGTTTCACTTTTTAAATCAATTCAGTTTATTCATATAGTGCCATATCACAACAATGTTGTCTCTGGGCACTTTACAAGAGCATTCACATACATAGAACAGACGATTAGTAAAGTTCTCTAAGAAATGGAATTACTGAAATAAATAAACTTTTTCATGATATTCAAATTTAATGACCAGCACCTGTATGTATGTGCATATATATATATATATATATATATAT